TATATCCAACATTTGGAGACTGTCCAGCAGCGACTTGGAGCCGGTCGTCCAGGTAGGATGAGGCCAGTGGGAAATGACCTAAAATGACTGTCATCTTTTACATAGAAACCACTTCAGTCTGAGTGGTTCAAATTGAGACAATAGCTTCGTTCAACAAATTTTTTGTTTAAAAAAAAAAATCTCATGCATAAATGCTAAATCAGAAATGCAGTAAAACTGTAATATTTTGGCATTTTATTACAATTTAAAATGACAGTTTTAATATTTTAACGTGTAATTTATTCCTGTGATTGGCAAAGCTGATTTTTCATCAGCCATTACTCCAGTCTCCAGCCCATTAGAATGATTTCTGAAGGATCATGTGACACTGGTTTAGTGCGAAAGAAACATTTCTTATTAAAAACAATTGTGCTGCTTAATTTTTTTGTGGAAACCGTGATCCTTTTCTTCTTAGGATTCTTTCAACAGAAATTTCAAAAGAACAGCATTTATTTGAAATAGAAATCTTTTGTAACAAGTTTTTTGTGTCACTTTTGATTAATTCAATGTGTCTTGGGTGAATATAATGAATTAATTAAAAAGTAAATACATTTACTGACTCTAGACTTGTGAATGTAGTGTATACAGTATATTGTTCTATATCAGTTGCATTAAACCTGGCACATTTTAAAAGAAAAAAAAATAATTGAAAATATGCACTGACCTCTACTGGACAACTGAAGCACATCACCAAACCAGTGTGATAGGTGTTCTTGTGTTCAGATAGTAGTAGAATTTGTCAAAACTAAAACTATACTTAGACCTCGTTTCTGTAACTGATTACACAAGATGGTTAGTCTTTTTTTTTTACTTTACTAGGATCCCTATTAACACTGAAGGTGAAAGAATCCAAAACCTTAAATAATGGCCATTTGTGACCTCTGACCATACCATCTTACAGTCCCCAGAGCGAACAGGAGGCATAGCCTCCCCGATACGATGAGCTATCAGCAGAAGTGGTTTCTAGAAAATAGAACCTGGCTGTATTTGAGTTGTTTGGCCCCGGGGTCCGTGTGGCCTTTAGGTGAGTGACAGTCTGGCCTCACTTACATGTTACATAGTCACATAGTCACAGAGGAGTTCAGAGAGAAGTTCACCTTCTTGTGTGATCAGTCACGTTCTGGTTGGTCTGGTTTCACACAGGTGTGCATGCCTGTTTGTCTGCGTCATGAATACTCCCATGAGCCTGTGCACTGTGTGTAGGGCGTCTGGCAGGTTAGGCAAATGCAGAACTGATATTTCTAATCATTTTGTTTTTGCAGTTTCACCATCAATGCTTCCATATGCCAGAAAATCTGACCGATGAATGAAGAAAGCTGATCACTAGTGCCAGTCTGTTCAAATTAGTTTTTTTTTTTTTTCATTCATAAATTATTTTTAATTGCCATCTTTTTTTTGTTGTGCTTTATCATTTTAGCTGAAACATTCTCACCAATAATGTTTTTTTTTTTTTTCAACCAGTGCTAGATGTTTTCACTTTTTGTATACAATTTTTGAATGGTCTGTACATTTTCACAGTTTATATTTTTTTACTTGTTGTCCACAGTAAGCATTTATTAAGGCATTTGCACTTGAATTCTGATTTTTAATGGATGTCACTGTTTAAATGCACATGGTTGGACATGTTTTGTAAAATGTTTTATATTCTTTTTTTTTATGAACAGTATTTCTACGAAAATCAATAAATATTTTATTCTAAATTGAGTTATTTGGTGTCTGTGTCATTTAAAAAAAAAAAAGATAGTTTCACCCAAAAACCGCATTTAGATTGTGGGTAACCTAACCGTTTCTCATTGACTTCCATAGTGTTCTTTCTTTCTTTCTTTCTTTCTTTCTTTTCTCAGTTGGGACCAACAACTGTTTGGTTACCCACATTCTTTAAAATACCTTCTTTTATGTTCAGCTGAAGAAAGAAATTCATACAGGTTAAGTGTAGGGTAGGGTTTTTTTTGGTTAATGTGGTCTCAAGATTACGTTTTAGATTAGTGGAAAATGGGAAAAATGTAGTTGCTTTTTAACAGAAGATCTTTGCACGGTATGCCCCTTCTTCAATATGCTGAATCGGTCAGTTCACAGGGAGTAACATTTGTGCATATTTTATATATCCTATAAAGTAGCTTTTGCTTATTGAATTCATTGCTGGACAATAATTTATGCCTCTTTAAGGCATGATGTCTCGATTTAAAGGGGAATATTGGATAAATTATTATGTTTTTGAAAGGCCTGAAATTAAAAGAGCCTCAAGTAGCATAACAGTAACGTTAGCTGGATAATACTACGTGATATGATATGTTTGTGGAGGATGTTAGCGTTATGATGGTCCATGTGACATCAAATTTTCCTCAAGTTGGAAATATGTGTTGCTTTTTGCCCATTTGGAAATCAGGAAGTAAGTGTAAAAAATATATATATTTTAAAGGGGTCATATGATGCTTTTTAAAAGATCATTATTTTGTGTATTTGGTGCAACAGAATATGTAAGACATGCTTTAATGTTAAAAAAAAACACATTATTTTTGAAATACTGTACATTATTGTAGGTCCTCTATGCCCCGCCTCTCTCAAACGCTTGTTTTCTACAAAGTCCCGCCTTCCGACAAGCGCAGTCTGCTCTGATTGGCCAGCTGACTGGATACAGCACTCTGTGAACATCCAGCTTCTTTGGCAATGAATGTTTTTGGCTTACCCTCCTTGTGAAGGGTGTCAGTGATTGTCTTCTGGACAACTGTCAGATCAGCAGTCTCAGTAGTGAACCAAACTGAGAGACCATTTTGGAGGCTCAGGAAACCTTTGCAGGTGTTTTGAGTTGATTAGCTGATTGGCATGTCACCATATTCTAATTTGTTGAGATAGTGAATTGGTGGGTTTTTGTTAAATGTGAGCCAAAATCATCACAATTAAAAGAACCAAAGACTTAAACTACTTCAGTCTGTGTGCATTGAATTTATTTAATACACGAGTTTAACAATTTGAGTTGAATTACTGAAATTAACTTTTCCACGACATTCTAATTTATTGAGATGCACCTGTATAAAACATCTTTTCAGATTCTGGTGTCGGTCTGGATTCATTCGGATGGAAGAAAAACCAGCATGCTTGCTGTAGGTCAGCTCAGGTTTCAGCGTTTAATGTTGTTCATAACTCAATTTTCGCGAGTCTACTTGAGGCATTATAGTATGGTATGTCTGTGTGTGTATGTGTATATATATATCTATCATTGTGTTGTTGTTGATTATCCATTGTTGCCTTTGACTGAAGTGAAGATTCAGCGTTTAATGTTGTTCATAACTCAATTTTCGCGAGTCTACTTGAGGCATTATAGTATGGTATGTCTGTGTGTGTATGTGTATATATATATATATATCTATCTATCATTGTGTTGTTGTTGATTATCCATTGTTGCCTTTGACGGAAGTGAAGATTGGGGGGGGGGGCGCTATATTCTTACTTAAGGCCCGGATAGCTGGTAGAGCATCAGACTTTTAATCTGAGGGTCCAGGGTTCAAGTCCCTGTTCGGCCGGTTCGTTTTACTTACGAAAAATATGCGTGGCAGTACAGTATATATGGTTTAATTAAATATAGTGGGTTGATTTGCAACCCTTTCATTCACGAATCATTAAAACATGAATATAAATTCATATAAATATAAAATCCCCTTTTTAAAAAAATCGAAAAAATGTATTTTGTAATAACTGTACACAAGCTATTAAATATATTTTATTGATGAATTTAACCTGTACAAAATGTAAATATATAACGCAGTCTAGAAAACTGAAAACAAAACACAATGGAAAATGCACAGCTGCAGTTGATAGATTAGTTAAGGTCAGAGAAGCATTTTACAGGCCAATTATTACAAACACAAACCAGTATAAAGGTCAAGGGTCATGCACAATTTGCACCTTGAACACTCTCTAAGCACAATGTATGCGAGCAGTGCGAGATATGAAAAATGGTGTCAGTTTTTTTATGCAGTGATGTTCTATGAATGAAATCCAAAATCTTTGCAGTCACACGCAAACTACACAAAGGTTTATTTATTCCCTTTAGCAGTTATGGGTTTGAGGATGAAAGGTGCAGAAGGCTGCAATCACCCAAGTGTCATGCACTTTCTGGGCAACTTCAGTGCCAAAAACAAGCCGGTCCTGAGATATCTGAAACATAATGCTATACACAACTCCCTCATTCTCACGAATCATGTTTTATTCACCTGAGCCACGGTAAATAAACTGAAAATCTAACTGAAAAAATCCTGGGGTTTTATCCTATAGACAGAAATATACAACTTCCTTTAAAACTGCATGTTAATAAAAACAAGTGCGATTTGTCCACTGCCTTGGAGTCATCCTTTGGATCTGAAAAATGATAAAGTGCATTCTCACTTGATATTGTGCAAATAAAAAAAATTAATAAAGAGCATGCATCATTTTTATAGTGCCAGACTTGAATGATCTTCAGTGGTTTTCCCCCCTTCACAGAAATCTGGGATTGGCAATAAAATCTAAGTTTGCGAAGCTTAAAGTTCATAATGGCACATTGCATATTATAAATATTTCTTCCTCCTATCAAAATTATTCAAAGCAGCTCAAAATTTCTAAGCACATATTTCCTACATCAACACCAACCTTTACTTTTTGACAAGAACGGAAATGTCGAGGTCAACTGAATGCAATCCTATTTGGCCGTTTACTCAAAGGACATCTGTCAACTGCTTTGTCCAGCTGGCAAATAGACTTTCCTATTCACAATGAAATACTTTACAGAACTTCTCTCAAGTGGATCAATATGTGAGAACTATGAATAATTGAGTATTTTGATAATGTTGTTCATTCTATCATTCCCACAGAAGCTCAAACCATTACAATGCATCTGGAAATTTGATACGATGCCACTCTGTGACATACAGTAATTAAGCTCAGACTTGTGTTTTGTCCAAGAGTAAATAAATATGACTTTTTTTAATCAGTGTCCAAAAGTAAATGGATGCTGTGAGTCTCTCGAGTACTTCATCTACGATACACCTATTAAGTCACCTAAAAAAAAAAGAGAGACGAGAACACAGAAATGAATATTAGGAATCCAGCAAATAAAATTTGTTGCTTCATATTTACCGCTTTCCCGTTATACCTTATGGATGTGTGGTGGTAGCTCGTCCTCAGACCCCTCCTCGGGCACTGGATCGTGATGTCTGCTCATTTGGTTCTCCTCAGACCAGCCACCCATAGGCATACGAGGCGGTCTCTGAGCTCGGAAGCTTCCAGAAACAGGATCTGCAGGAGACCGTTTGTCGCCCATGTAAAGACTACGTTGTGGCACTTTTCATTCTTAGATATTACTACAAACAGTCGTTTGTAGTACCTGAGGTTCCGCCATAGCGCCGCTGGCTGCCGCTATGCTGTGCTGCCCCCGCCTGGTGTGAGGTGGTTGGGAAAGTGCTGGAACGGGGGAAGGTGCGGGCGGCTTCCATGTCCTCATTGACACTCTCACTGCTCTCGTCACTCTCCTGTCTGTGCCAGGTGTGTCGAGACACCTCACCTCGCGACTGCTGCTTGTGCATCTAATCACACATTAGATATAGTTACTAATATAGAGACTGACCTCTTTCAACACATCATTGGTTAAAAGGCTGATTTGGACCAGATAATGAAGGAAAAGCAGCTAAGATGCCCAGCATTTGTGGGAAGTATAATGATCATGGCAGTCTCACACATTCTTAAATCAGTCCCATACATGTGCATTCACTGATTCCATAATTGTGTAATAAAGCTTTGCTTATATCAACAGTTCATGTGTTGCTTTACCTCATGCATGTAGAGGGCATGAATGCTCATCTCTGTGGAGGCGTATTCTGATAGGACCATACTGGTCAGCTGGCCTTCCCAGGCGCTACTGCCAGAGCTGATGGTACGGGCATCAGTGCTGGATGAGGACGATCCAAGAAAAAAGAACAAATTAATGATATGAAATAGTTTGGCAGGGACATTTTAAAATCAGTCTAGCTGTAAAGATGCAAAGACACCTATATTAGTTCAAAAGTTTGGAGTTTATAGTTTTTTGAAAGAGGTCTCAATGAGGCTGCTTTATTTGATATAAAAAATATAGTAAAAATAGTAATATTGTGAAATATATATTTTTACAACGTATTCTATTTTAATATTTTTAATGTAATTTATTTCTGTGATTTCACATTTTTTTGTAACAACTGCATGTGATTTTAATTAATGTAATGCACCTTGCTGAAGAAAAGTAATAATTTCTTTAAAGAAAATATTTCTGACCCCAAACTTTTGAACGGCAGTGTAAATTTTGTTAAAATTGCTATTTTCAAATCATGTGATTCTAAATAGTCTTCTTAATAAGAAATCTATGAAATGTAAATGTTAACAGGTCTCGTTCACTACTGTAACTGTACACAATTTGTGTATTTATTCAACATTTTTACAAGTGTTTTTTTTTTTACTTTGTTTTTAATGTTTAAAGGGGTTGTGAACCCAGATGAATCACAATGAGAATGCCCAAAGCTACTCAATATTAGGGATATTCTGTGAATTCTAGTGTCGAGCTCAAAATCAACATCTTTTACTTAGACACTTAGAATACACAAGAGAAAATCAATAAAATAATAAAGCTGAAAAATTATAGAATTATTATTACAATTTATGAAACTCTATAAAAAAAAATAACAATACAATATGTTAATTTGTGTTCAGTCATTACCCTGAGCCTGCCATTGCTCTCCCAGCCACCACAGCTGGATGGTCAGGTCGTGGCAGTCTGGCAGATGGGTAGCTGCCCCGCAGGTGTAGACTCGTGCTGACAGGAGAGAGGGATCGGAGGGCGGATGCCCCCTCACTCACTCCAATGGACACAGGATTGATGGAGCCCTCTCGACCCAGATGCAGCGAGGCCAGGGAAGGGGGTCCCATCAGGAGATTTGCAATAAGACTGCGAGGCTGAAATGAAACAACACCCAAAATCAGACCTCTTTTTAAAAAGAACTTAGTTCTCTTTGTAATCATATTGTATCTAATCTTAAAAGCGGGTTTTGGATCACTTTTCATAAATCTCTTTTAGGACCCAGTCTAAAACTTAAAATAATTATGATTATTATTATTCCTATTATTGATCTTATTGGCTATTAGAAATATATTATTATATGTAATGATCTGGATGGATGTCGGCAGCTCAGTCATTTGGATACCTCTGAATCAGACTGTAGTGAATGGGTTGAGGTAAATGCAGAATTCTCTGCTATGATTCCCTGCTGTCCTGTGGCGGCCTCGCGGTGCACCTTCTCTTTCAGAAGGCTGATGAAATGCGTGCTCTCCCGAGGGGGCTGCCAGTGTGGATTTGTGATAGCAAAGTGCATGAGTGACAGTTCAGTCTTCCCGTCTTCTGCCTGCTGATAGATGGAGGCCTCTGTTTTCCCAGCAGACATCCACTATAGTGGACCACAAAAGGGCATCATAGTCAACAAATAAAGAGAGAACTAGGTAGATACATCTACAAAAAAACACAATAGTGAAAATAATTTGGGGGAAAAAAGGTTTGTGCCCTTACCGCAGGATGACCATGTTGACGGACATCCATCTGTGCAAAAGAGCAAGTATCGCCCACACCGACCACGTCCACAGTAAAGTTTCGGAAAAAATCTATGATCTCTAGAGATTTACGCCGCAAGCAAAAGATTAGAATGAAGGGAGTGATGACAGGACTCAACAGCTCCTCAAGAATAAACACCTACAGGAACAGAGATCATAAAATTCTGTTTTAGAAATGCATGTTATTGATTGTATTGTGAAAGGATCATCCATACATGTTTCATTTGTAAAAACAAAATTGACCTCATTTTTAATAAAAACAAACACTGAAACTGCAGATAGGACTTGGGAATTATATTTATATGGCATATGTCATTATCATCACCAAAATCCTGTCTTGGTTCTGTAATGCATGGTATGCTGTGTATCCAAAACTACAATTAATTTGTGGTCCTTTTTATTTTATGTTATTTAACTTTGAAATAACGAAAATTGATTGAAGATTTTTGGTTTCCCAATTCTCATTTTTATTTCAGTTAATGAAAATGTTATGTTAGTTTTCATTCATAATAATAATAATATATTTGTGTTAGGTCCACAAAGCTGCATTACTTACAGCCTTGTACTGAAAGAGCTGTGCGAACTCGTCTCTGGTCTCATAACGGTGGGCATTACCCTGCCAATGATCAGGCATGTAATGGATGTGTGCCAAGATCACTTTAAGCAGCTGTTCTGGGCAGAACACCATATGCTTGTCTGGGATAAAAGACCTAGGGCAAGCAAGGATGAAAGAAGGAGCACAAAATAGTTCAAAGTCAAATCTCACCAGTAAATAAAATGGACAACAAATATCCAAAGACTCAGTTCTAGTGATCAGTTTTATCTTGGCCACACCTGCAGACTGTGACGCAGATCCCAAGTAATGTAATACTGCTGAGCACGTGTTCGACAGCCAATACATCTTCATCATAAATGGTCAAAGCGATCAAAACTGCTAGTATGGAGCCAGCAAAAAACGCCACGTTCTTAGCCACCACCGTCAGTAATGGTGACATGAAGCAGTTCATGTACTTCGAGGAGGCCTTGTAGCCCTTGCTGAGGCGTGACATCAGCTCATGGTCTAGTTCATTAAAGTGTCGGAGGTAAAAACGGCCATACAGGGACCAACATCGAGCACCCAGACTTCCCGGCTCCCGCTTGATCACCTCAGTGTAGCTGAAGAACGCATACAGAATCTGCCAAATCAGGATAACTGGACACAAGAGAAGGTTGGCAATTCCAATCCACAAGATCCTTGAGCTCAGACGATCCGCTAGCTCCAAACGGTTCCCTCCACGTTTGTACTCAGGCTTCAGACTCCACTCGTTTTCAAAAAGAGATCCAGGGCCCCAGAAGAAAATCAACTCAAAGTTATACTTGAGACCACGAGTGTAAAAAACAGTGTCGCCCAGCAGAGGCAAATGAAACCGCACGGGTAGGAGTGACTTATTGACCATTGCGACCATGTAGTTTTTAAAACGCAGTATGCGGTGGTAGATGTCCAGCTCTGTCAGTTCTTTTTTGTGGATGCAAATCTGGTGCTCCTTCTGTATCTCAATAATCCTTCCCTGCACCTCCTGCCAGGTGAAATAAGGAAGGTCCGTCTGAAAGAGAGAAAGGGCTTATTGAACATTTCAAAATGTGAACTCAGTTGAATACTATAACCTCATTATGGTACCCTTGCTCAGAAGTTTAAATGGCTTACTGGCATCAAAAACACATAAGTAAAACAGAGTATGCTTTCCTCCACTGCTGACTCAGAACCAAAACGCTTTAGTATATGTGCTACAATGAGTTAGCAGGAAAGCTCACCATGGACATTTTTAGGGCGTTGATGTAAAACGATCTGATCTCCCAGTAACAACAGATGTTGTAGATAAACTTGACGAGACGGTGGAGCCAAAAGACCCCTGATATGATAAGGATGAAGATGACCAAAACACTGTCACGGATCCTAAAACACATTTTAACAAAAGACAGTTTGTGTTATGATGGATCATATTGATAGTAAGAGGCAATAACAGTAACGCCACATCATTAATGACATTTAATATATGAAATATACCGAGCACTGCACACATCCACTGGAAGAAATGCATCAGGAAGCGTAACCTTTGAGGAATCAGTGTGATTAACAAACTTGTTGGCAAAGAGGATGTCATAGTCCACACAGTTAGCCAGGAACACTGTGAATGCCACCACAAACACCAGTTGCCTGGAATAATGATGGAAAAAAGTGCATGACAGTACATTAGGTTAAAGAAGTTTGAACACTGATCCACTGTTTACAGACACTAGTACTATTTGTACAACCATATTTAATGAAGGATACAGTAAATGAATTGATACTTACACAAGCTCAAATATTTCTCCCAGCAGCATACAAGTAAATCCATTCTTCTGATGTAGATTATAGACGTATTGAATGTTAAGAAAAATAAGACTTTTGTTGACCGTAATCACTAAATTGATATCAATCTACTTGATTTAACATTTACAAAATCTATTTAATCCATAATTAAGCAATACATTTCAGTGCACAAAGGATATTCTCTGGAAGAAAAGGTCCAGATTTTCAATGTGGTGCCATGGAGCTGAAATAAACAACTAAATTAATTAATTTTGACAAAATTACATGGAAAAATGTAGAGCTATGTTAATGGTAAGAAGAAGCGTGTTGTTTAAGGCAAACTTGCCAAAAGAATAACAGCATATGGCACTGACATACAATAGGCACACAAACTATAGTGCATTTGTTTCTTTAGTTAAAATTGTGGGATCTGCCTTAAATCTTACATTTGGATCCCTCTGGAACATGCACCAGCAGATTCTCTTCTCCGGGAGGGGAGTCACTGTAGGACGCCTCCAGGCGCTGGTACTCTGTGTCAAAGTGGGCCATCCCGCTGTCAGCCCCCGATTCTCCTGTCACACACTATCCCTTCTGCTGCCTTTAGATTAAAACCCACACTTATTTCATTTTAAGGAAACCACTGGGTATGATAAAAACAAGATCAAATAAATGTGGTTCAAATTATGTTTAAATACATTTAAATATGTATAAAGCATGACAAATTGTAGTTCAAAATGGTATTTAAAAAAATACCCAGCCCACAAAAACATGTCAGGATACTCCACTGGCGACCTCATTGCGCAACAACAGCGGGCCCACGCTCATAAGAAACGTGCACATGACTCACATGTTAAGAAACCGATAAAATAACATACTTACCCAACATAATATGTTTAAACCACTGCATTTTGTTGCCATTACGTTAGCAGGTTTTTACAAATTTTTTTTTATTGTTGGACCAGTTTGGCTGGCTTTGTCAAATGCCAATCTCTAAGAAACAATCAATGCTACCTTTAAGGAACGTGTCTGAATTTAAACATAACACTGTTTATTAGAAGATTAATAATTCTTACCTTGTACCTCCCGCCATTTCATTTATGAAACCAAAGGACTACGGGAGCAATTCTGCTCTTCCTAGATGAAACAGCAAAAACATAAGACAGTCAGTCCATTCTTGCAAAAGGCAAAAAACAGAACACAGTGGCATTGGTTACTTTTGAAGTCTTCTGTGTTATCCGTACATGACCTTTAATAATTCAAATAACTAATGTTTGTTATTATCGCTGACAGGAGGCACCCAGTTATGTCAACAGAAGCCTGCGGAAAATATGATATGCGCGTCACATTGAGAAACACCTACCTATACAGCAACAAACAGGCGATTCGCTATTCAGAAAAAGGATTTGAATGAAATCTTACCTCATTCGAATATAAGGAGCAGTGATTTATCGTTCGCGCTATGTTATCAACGCCAAGTTCTCCTTTGTTGTAGCTTCTGAAGCATTTTTGGTTTCGATTCTTGACGCACGGTATAGAGGCCGCGTCCACTGCGTGACACATTTGCTATCCAATCAGAAGCAGGTTTTGGGTGTGAACGAGCCAATGGCATCAGGAGGCGGGTCTTCTTTTAGTAAATACAGCAAACAACATTAATTCCAAAAGCATTCAGATAATGAATTCCCCAGAATACATTGAAAGTTGTAAATGTACTTGAATATTTAAATTACACTGGGAGTTAAATCGTAAACGATGATTAATCATAGTTGGTTGTATGTTACAGCTTACAGGACAGCAAATTAAAGCCCTTTACAGAATGTTTTAACGCAAACAACAGAAATTACAAGGTTATTACATTTCAAGAGGACAAAACGCTTAATTAGTCATTACAATAGCTTTTTTAGTGCCAAAAATTTTCATATTTTGTTCATCTTACACTCAAGAGACACAAGTACAATGTACACTGACTGATAAATGCTATTCACATTAAATCTAGAAAGAAGTTTGACATCTCAAAATTTTGTTTGCCATGGCTCCACCTTTATTCCTATGGTTAAAATGAAAAGAAATATCATTTTAAAATAGATTTATAGTTTTTGGCTTGTGATAAAAAAAAAACACATTTCAAATTAATTCAGACACATTAAATGGTTCAGAAGGGTCTATTGTGCAGTCCTAGTGTGAATGGGACAGATAAGGCAGTCCTAATTCAACAACCGCTCAGTACACTCTGAATGAAAGAAACATTGAATGGTCACTGGGCAACAGTTCGCACTACCTGTCTATACAATGGCTCCCCCTTGTGACTTGTTGTTGCATCAACAATGAATTGACTGATGCAACCAAGTGTGCTTAAATTTCATAATATGATTTTGGAGAGAAACAGACAATATTTAGATCATAGTACTGTTCAAGCTTGTTTACAAATTAACTGCAGAATAAGTGCATGCTGAAATAACTGTTTAAATCTCAAATATGACATGTGCAGCACAAAAGAAAACAGCGAGTGTGAATAAAGCCAAATTTACACTGCAAAGGTGGCACAGAAGCACTTCTGAAGTAGCATTTAGGTGTCTTTACACAGACTGTTTAATGCTGCTCAGAGGTTGCATAAATACATTTCCACAGCAATTACAACTGTACCTGTATGCTTTGATAGGAGCTCAGGAGGATCTGAGCAGGCATATATTAATCTGGCTTTTATGTGGAATTGCACCTTTACACTGAAGTTTGAGTAGGCACAGAACAGCCTTAACTCGGCTGCAAGACACCTTAATTTAGTCAGGACAGGCTATGGTATTTTTTTAAAAAGATGGAGTAACAAGAGCAGTTCTTTGTTCAATTCGCACCATCAAAATGAACCAAATGAAAAGTTGGCTTCAAACTTTCATTTCTTTGGAGCAATTTACAAACGGATAATTGCCTCTCATTTTAATTTTCAATTTTACGAGTTTGGGTTGTTGCAACCGAATCTGATTTTTTAACGAACAAAAAAAATTACTCATTATTCTGATTTTCCACTTCTCTGTTTTGCGCTCCTGGTCAAGTACTGCTCACTGCAGAGCCAAATGACCTCCAGCTCCCCCTCTCTGGATGTCCAGCTCCACCTCTGTGTGAACTAATGGGTGGAGTTATGTTTAGCGATAGGCTCCTCCCATTTGGCTCTGCAGCGAGCACCCTCTACTCCTAGTTGAACCTACCAGTGGGGGAGCGGCCGGGGGG